GAGCGCCCACTGCACTCCAGTTGGGGCGACAGAGTGAGACTCCAACTCAAAAAAAAAAAAAAAAAAAAAAAAATGAGGCCTTGCTCTGTCGCCCAGGCTAAAGTGCAGTGACATGACCATAGTTCACTGCAGCTTCAAACTACTAGGCTCAAGCAATCCTCTGCCTCAGTCTCCTGAGTAGCTGGGACTACAGGTGTGCCACCACACCCAGTTAATTTTTATTTAATTTTATTTGTAGACATGGAGTTTTGCTATGTTGCCCAGGTTGATCCTGAACTCCTGGCGTCAAGCAGTTTTCCTGCCTAGACCTCCCAGAGCACTGAGATTACAGGCATAAGCTGTGCCCAGCTGACTGTGGAAATTTTGAGATAATATTTTTAGGTAGCCTGATACATGATAAGTGCTAAATAATTAGTAACTTATTTTGCATATGAAAGAATGCTTTCATTTTTAAAAGAAGAAAATAATAAAGTTATAATAAATAGGAGGTGATGTGCATTGTTTTCTCAGTGTCTTAATATATAGCAACGCTTTCAAGATAATATAAAACTTTAAGTTCTGCTTGTGGAGGGAAATTAACTTTACCATTTATTGAGATTATTTTTTAAATCAATCTTGAAGTCAGAATCTTGATGAAAAATTTTGCTCATATTCAAAATAGCTTCTGTGTGCTACCAAGGTGGTGGAGTTTTCAAAAATTTAGAAGCTGGGAAGCTTAGAAAATAACTGTATAATCTTCAAAAAAATTTTATACCTATGACTTCTGCTAAGGAAGAACTGAAATCAACTGAATTATTTATTTGTCAGACCATTTTATTCCTATAGAGCCCATGACCACTCATTCATTTCACGTATCTTCTCAACTTGTATGTAATTAAAGAAGTGATTCCTAAACTTTGCTACCCACTTGGGCAGCTTCCCCCCACCCCGCCCCCAGCACACTCAATAACAGCTTTATTTATTTGGGCCTTAAAATTTACAAAGTGCTTTTATTTATTTGAGTTGGCGTCTCACTCCGTCGGCCAGGCTGGAGTGCAGTGGCATGCTCACAGCCATCCCAGCGTCGACCTGCTGGGCTCTGGCAATCCTTCTGCCTCTGCCTTCCAAGTAGCTGGAACTACAGGAACACACTACCATGCCCAGCTAATTTTTGATTTATTGTAGAGACAAGGTCTCACCAAGCTGCCCAGGTTGGTCTCGAACTTGTGGGCTCAGGCAATCCACTCGCCTTGGCCTCCCAAAGTGCTGCAATTACAAGCTGAGCCACCGAGCCTAGCCTATTTTTTTTAAATTTTACTTTAAAGATGTGAGGGTACAATTCAGGGTTAGGTATACAAATGTTCGTTATGCCGGTACCCTTGTTGCATTTGGGCAGCTTTTAAAAATCTCTAGACCCAGGGATTATGTCAAATGTCTAAAGGTGGCAATCAGGCCTTAGAATTTTTTAAAGACTCAGTTGATTCCAGTGTTCAGCAAAGTTTGAGAATCAATGATTTATTAAGTGCTTACACTTAATAGGCAATTTTTAAAAAATCTGTGCCAACAGTGGGTAGTTCTCAGTCCTCCTGGGACCCACAAAAACAGTTACAGAATGGAAGGGCATTGAATTCAATGACAAATAGCACGAATGACTTTTTACAATGGGAAACATTGTGAAATACAACATGAACATTCAGAATATGTGAAATGTGTGCATTACAGAGAGCAATAACAAACTGCAAGATATAACTGTGTAATTTCATATCATACATTTTTTAACTTCTGGCTGGCATTGTTTTTTTAACAACCCATCTCAAACTGTGCTACGTATTTTATAAGTATCATCTTACTGACTCTACAAATAACTCCATAAGGCAGTTACTATTATTACTGTCATCCCGATAGATAGATGAGAGCCGTTAAGTCACTTCTCTAAAATCATACAATTGGTACATGGAAGACCCAGTAATTGAGCTGGGGTCTTCACCTCTTGAAGGCCCAAGTCTCTGATCAGTATTCTACAGTGCTCTCCTCACTTTGTTTCTTCTACTATGAGCAGGGAAACAGGTTGTAGAGAGTTATAGAGGCCCTGCTACTTAGCCTTCTCCAGTGAACATCGCTTTCACTCCTGAACACTTATTTGCTCCTGAGTCATCTGCTTCTTCCAAAGAACATTAAATTAACCCAGCAGGAGGGGAGGCAACTGCAGTGAAGCAGAAGCAGTCTGAAGGGTTGGTAGCATCAGCAAGGGATTATTGATCATCAGCTATCAGCTCAACCCTCTGCTAGGTGCTGTGGAAGAATTAAAGATTGTTGCCTCAGCAAGGTAATGTTTTCGGGGAAGAAATAAAATAACAAATGGAAATTAAAGGCAATATAAGTTAAGTGTACATGAAATCATATGTAATTAAATATAAAACTCAACTTTCCAGACTACCCCTCAAGACAGACTTATTTCCTCTGCTGGGATTCTATAATACTACATTTATAGACCAATACAGCATTTATTCGCTCCATAAATATGGCTTTTGTGCCTAATGTAGTCCAGGCACTGTGCCAGGTGATGGATTATCATTTGGCAAGTTTTTTACTTGTCTTTCTCCAGCTGTTTCCCTTGGTCCCTGCTATTTTGCTTACAATAAGATATTTAAGGGCAAAGGCCATACCTTAGTAATTTTCGTATTCCTAGCATTTAACTCATTGTGGTGATCTGGATAATAGTTTAGTTGTAGCCTCCGCAGAAATTATTCCTCAGAAGGCAAAATCCTTCTCAGAGAGGTAAACGTAGTGTCCTTGCCCAAGCTGCAGTCTATTTATACTGACATACTTTCCTCCTCCATAGGAGAACGATGGGCTAAGTACATTTCTGAAAATAATTGTTAAAAAGGAGTTAGGGATTTTTGGTGGGATTGACACATGAATTTATTTCTTCTTTCTCAGAAAGCCCCAGTAGAAAGGTAGTAAAGACAAAAATGTGAAAGATGTGAATTGACAAAGTCGAAGAGAAAGGGAGAGGAGAAAACACCTAGTGTGCAATGTCAACACGTCTGTAGATGAAAAGCAGGTGGGGGAATTGGCAGAGCTGGTCAGGCTGAATGAATACCAAGCAGCAGCATAGGAGACCACCAGAAGCAAGGAAATCGCACCGCACTACCCTAGATGGATGCAGGATTGGAGGCACCACTAGCTTGGAAGGCAGGGTGGAGCTGATGGGCTGACACCCAGATCCTCACCTAAACCCTGAGCAGCCAGGTGAATACTGCTTCTCCCACTCTACTAGAATAGGGAAAGTTTGTTTTCTATTAAGATTAACCCAGAGAAATTCCAGGTGGCATGATGGCAGGAGCTCTGGAGGGCAGGAGAGAGACGTTCAAAAAAGGGTGAGACCTTCTCAGGCTACTTCTAACCCTGCAGCCAGGAAGCCAGCTCTCTGTTCCTCCCACCACTTTCTAGGCCAGAGAGCCTGGGAGTTCTCACTGGAGGCACTGAACAGCCTTGTAGAAAAGATCTTCAGAGACTGATGTTGAGGAATTCTCCAACACAGAAGGCTTGTCCTTAACTGATCATTACCCATCAGATGGCAAGCCTCGTTCATGCACACACGGAAATGTTATAGGCTCAATATTTTGCTTATTTCTTTCAAGTGAAGTCCTCTGATAGAAGGCATATTTTAAATTTCATTCTGTGTCCATACTTACTTAAACAGTCTAAAGTGAAATACCAAATTTCTGTATTACAACACTGGGCAGAAATTCATATAATAGCAATTAAGTGACCAGCAAAATATATAATTTTGTTGTTATGACAACCCTTTCACCTAACATTGTGAACAAAATAACTAAAATGTATACAAAGAGGTAAAGTATTAAGTAAATTACACAGATACTTGGCAAAGAAAGGAGATTAAAACACAAGAACACACATAATTACTCACTATAGAAAATCTCACATAAGTATATAAAGAGCCATTTTTTGGTAATTTATTTTTTATACCTTCATACACATAATTTGTAGCAACAATTTAGAACTCTGATATTTCACTGTTTCTGTTATCTTGAAAACTATTTTTCTTTAAAATTCAATTATGTATTGATCATGCACCTACTGTATGCCAGGTGCTAGGTATAATAGATATTTTAATATATGATTTATTAACTATACATAATTATATTTAAATATTAGCTTATATTAAAATTAACTATAATTGTGGTATTTAAAATGTCTTCCAATGTAAAAGAGAAAACTTAGTGTGCATTTATAGAAGGTAGAGTGAAGTGAACAGATAAAATGGCATGCAAACAGAAATAATGAATAAATTAGAAGCCGATAGGTTTGCAACCAATTAATATTTACTAATAAATAAAATGAGCTTGGAATGATTTAAG